CCATCCCGTGGCTAAACCTCAGCATCTTAGCAATCCTGTTCTCCCGATTGAAGCAGGATGCTTGTCCAGTGAGCTTGCCCTGCTAAAACAGCGCAGATCTGTTGGTTGACTTCTACGGGGTTTTTTGGTGCTAAGGTTCCGGACTATTACAGTTTTTTTTAAGACGTGCTGGTTGAAGACAAGTGCAGATGCAGATGTGTTTACTTAGAAGGCCTGCTACTTCCTTTCGGATCCTTCCTTCAGAATTCTCATGTGGGCTGGCACAGAGGGAAGCTTATAAAGCAATAAAAATAAAGCAATTTTTAAATAACTAAAACCCAGACAGGACCTTGCTTGAAAAGATTTCCTTGACAATAGGGTAGAGCAGAGGATGCTAAAATAACGGTCCTGCTAATTGCAGAAATAGCCTGCCTACAGACTCCACCTCACTTCCAGACAATGTCTGCAATGAAATATAACACCTATTTAATGGTTTCGAAAAATGCAACTTTGGCTTGAATTGTAGTCAGTGCTTTGTAGTAAAGGATTCTGAAGGTGCCCTAATTGTCTGCCCAGGAGAAGCTCTCTTGCTTTAAAACAGATTGTCTTGGGGGAATTAATGTCAAGATGCCTTCCCCTCTTCCTCCCCCCACCAAAAAAGCAAACATCTGAAATACCACCTTTCTCCCCCACTTCAAATGCTCAAAAGTGAGTCATCAATTCAGCTGGTTTCAGCAATTGCTTTCTGCCAAATCTGCCTTGCTCTTCCTTCTGAACCTTTTCTACCTGGACATTCCATTAAGATGATTAATCTCTGGCACAGTTTCTCTTAAGTTTCCTTGGAAGTGTTTTTCAGATGCTTGTAAGTTTGCAGTGACTGAAAGGAGATAATTTTCTGACCCTGATGGGCTTTCTTTCTTCCAGAGGAGTGGCTGAGACCAGTGATGAAAAAAGACAAGCAAGTCCTTGTGCATTGGGGTTATTATCCAGACAGGTAATGAGAAGGCTGGAAAATGGAAGCCCATACTTCAAATATTGTCCTTTTCTTATTACAAAGAAAGGAGAAATTCTGACTCAGGTGCTTGAAATGTCAGGGTTCTGGCTTTTTTTCCAGGAAAAAAAAAAATTATGTCCATTGTTAAAGCAAAGAGCTTGGAAGATTCAGAGTCAAACCAAGCTATTGGCTCACTAATCACAGTTTAGACCCAAGCCATGACTAGATTAGTCTTCCGGCTTTGGATGTCCAGATAATACTGTGACTGTTTTCCTGGGCTTTTTAATAGAAGGGTGCAGAACATTCTGACTGTATTCAAAATGGATTGTTTGCACTCCAGAAGTTGCAGGCTTTGAAAGGGGCCACTTCC